AAACTATATAATGGATCAGTAAAAACATCCCAATTCGCCACTACTAGAATTATACCATAATAAATATAAAATAAATATAACATGTCTATTACATTTTCCTCTAAAAAGAAAAAAATAATGTGGGAGTAGGTAGATGAACTGCTTAATGTTAAGCAATTATGTTTTAGCCGATGTCTAAGACGGCAGCGGGTGGACGGGAGGAACATCCAAAATGGCTGTGGAGAGTTTCAGGTCCGTAGAACAGCACGTTTTTGGAGAATCACAAAAACCCCCCTCCCCCTTCTTCACCACTACATCCCCTTCCCTCGCGCGAATTTCTCCACCTATAGAAAAATCCCAGCTCAGCTTAAACCCCGCTTGCTTCCCTCCCCTTCCTTCTTAGCCAACAGCAACAGTCCAGTTCAGCCTAACTGGATATAAAAGGCCCACCCCGACTCTCCCTGCTGCTGCTCCCACTTCCCAGAGGGCAGCCTGCTTGTTCATTTTGCCTGCCTAATACACTTGGGTTGAGTTCCTGTCTCCTGGTGTGTCTTATTTTTGTGCTCAGGCCAGGGCTTTTCCTTTCACTTATACTGGGTCAGCTAAGAGAAGATCCAGAGAAGATCCAGTGTGTAATAGACATCTTATTTTCATCTGCCCAACTTCCTTTTTTTCTTCTGGTAGAAGCACCATCCCTATCTTACTTTGGGGAAATATACTCCAATCCCATCAACTGCCGACTATAGTATTCTAGCCCCAGTACCACGGATACATGACCCAGGCTTGGCCAATCACAGAACCCTAAACCTCTGGCAGTACCTCTGAATCCAAAGATTGAACACGGAATCCAGACCAGGTCAATCAGAATCCTTCTCTAAAATTATATGAGGGTGCTTCAAAAAGTTTGTGGGAAAATGGAATTAGAAGTTAATATGAATCTGTCCCATGAACTTTTTGAAGTATCCTCAAATATACTACTATACTTTCTTTAATACTCTTAAGATTGCTAAACTGGGATGATGCAAATCTGGTACTGCCTGTGGCTTTGTCTCCTGTTTTATAGAGAAAGCCTATCTGTAGGAGGAGACAATAAGGCCAGAGAAGGAGAAACAGAGAAAAAGAGAGATAAAAAAGTTAGGATGACATCAAATCCCTGGATTTAGTTGACCCTACAGCTAGTTCCACCTCTGTCCTTACCAGTTAAATGAACCAATAAATCCCCTTTATTGCTTAAGGTAGTTTTAGTTAGCTTTCTGTCAATTGCAAATGGAGTCTTTTTTTTTGGCAGATGGCTGGTAGGGACAAATAGAGCTCTGATGTGCAGAAACGAATTCTAAGGATAGAGGAAGCAAATAAGATTTAATATAATAAATGCTAGTCCTTTGGGTAGAAAGCAGGGTAAAACAGAAATATAAACTTCAATTCATATATAAATTTACAAAGTGTCCCATTAGTCCATCCTTTTTGATTCCATGGTATCCAACAAATTTGAATTGAGATTAAATGAAATGTGGGGTTTCTATCTGTGACTACATATTTTTCTGGCATTAAAAATAGTACCTTCTGATACACAGAGTGGCTATCTTTGAGTGGCAGACTTATGAATAATTTTCATTTTCTTCTTTTTGCCTGCATTTTCTGAATTGCCTATAATAAACATATTGACTTTTTACCATTTTAATTAAACATTTATTATTATTATTTACCAACTATTGTATCAGTTTCCTGTTGGCACTGTTGCAAATTACCGCAAACTAAGTGGCTTAAAACAAAACAAATTTCCTATTTTGCAGTTCTGGAGTTCAGAATAAAATGAGTCTGCAAGGTTGAGTTTCTTCTGGAGAACACTCTTGGGGAGATTTGTTTCCTTGCCTTTTCCAATTTCCACATGCTGCCCGCATTCCTTGATTCATAGCCCCCCTTCCTTCATCTTCAAAAGTCAACGGATTAGCATTCTCTCTTCTCTCTCACCTCCCTCTTGTAAAGACCCTTGTGATTACACTGGGCCTACCCAGATAATCCAGGATAATGTCTCCATCTCAAGAACTTTAATCACATCTGCAAAATTCTTTTTACCATAGAAAGTAACACATTGATAGGTTCCAAGGACTGGAATCTGAACATCTTTGGGGGTCGTTATACAGCCTACCACAAATATCTACTTGTAAATCAATGTAAAAGATAATTAATATAAAAACTGTGAATCAAGCACAGCCTAGGTATGTAAAGAAAAGGCACTATATTAATGGTTGAATGAAGGCCCCTGGGAAAATAATCTGAACACAGGTCATGGTCTGCTTCCCTGATAGCTACAGAGTCTATTCTGGGAAGTTAAGGAACAAAGCTATAAGTCAGTCAGTTCTGGGAAACAGAGTTTAGCATTGGTGGGGTTTCTGGCAAGGCTGCAATGCAGGCTAGGTGCTGCACACTGAGCAGAAATGTCAGGAATAAACTCCTATTAATTTCTACTCTCCAACAGTAGGACACAGCAGAACACTTCCAGCACATCAGGGAGGGGAGAACAGGAAACTCACCAGGACACAGAGCAAGCCAAGAGTAGATCAGAATGTAGGCCAGTTTCATCTGGTCATTGTTTCTCAGTGTAAAAATTGGTACAATGGTAGTGATGACAACTCTTATGGGTCACACTGCTCCAATCTGAACCAGATGCCTTCTACGAAGTATTCAGATACAATCCTGAGATCCCCCTTCACCAATCTCCCTGGAAGGGTCATTTCACTTCTCTGTGTTATGTCAGAAGAACACATCCTGCAGCAGCTCCTTGTTGAGACGCCTGAAGACATTTGGATTTTTATCCTTTATATGTAAGTATTTAATACATGTCCCTAATTTATTTTCCTCTGTAATTGAGCAGTCAATAGCTCAAGACCAGAGAGCTTCCTACTGAATCTAAAAATTTGCCAATTTCAGCATATCCCATATATCCATTTCTCAGTCATTTTTTAAGAAAAGGATACTATACAACATTGAATCCCCAAAATATGTATAATCAATTATGATTCAATAAAAAATTTTTTTTAAAAAGGAGTTAATACATTTACTTGCACAACATTGTGAATGTACTAAATGCCACTGAATTGTTCACTTCAAAATAGTTAATTTTATGTTATGTGAATTTCATCTCATTTAAAATAACAACTAACATAGATCATACATGCATGTTACAAACTGCAATGATTTAACTGACACATAATAATTACACAAATTTATGGGGTATAATGTGATATTTTGATTCATGTGTACAACATGCAATGATCGGATCAGGGCAATTAGCACATCTAGCACCTCAAACATTTTATCATTTCTTTGTGTTGGGAATATTCAACACCCTCTCTTCTAGTTCTTTGAATATATAGAATAAATTGTTAACTAGTCACCCTACAGTGCTGTAGGATGCTAGAACTTATTGCTCCTACCTAGCTGTAATTTTGTGTCTATTAAACAACCTCTCCCTCTCCCCCTTTCTCCTAACCCTTCCCAGATTCTAGTAAACTATTATTCTACTCTCTACTTCTATGAGATTAACTTTTAAGCTTCCACATATGACATGTTGTATTCATCTTTCTGTGCTTGGCTTTTTCACTTAACATATCTTCCAGGCTTATCCATGTTGCTGCAAATGACAGAATTTCATTCTTTTTAATGGCTGGATAGTATTCCATTGAGTAAATATACCACATTTTCTTTATCCATTCATCTATTGATGAATGCTAAGGTTGACTACATATCTTGGCTATTGTGAATAGTGCTGCAATAAACATGGGAGTGCAAATAGCTCCTTGACATACTGAAGAAAAAAAAGAGAGTATAAAAAAAATTCAATATTATAAATATTATATAAAAGATGGACAAAAGTGGTTATGAAGTGGGCATGAGCTCCACTTTATAATAATGTGGAATATTTGACAACTCATGTATGAAACTCCAAATCTATTTTTCCATTTTTGGCAGCTGGCCAGTATTGGGATCCTAACCCTTGACCTTGGTGTTAGATCACTAAGCTCTAACCGACTGAGCCAACCAGCCAGGCCCTTGAAACTCCATATTTAATGTGTAGAGAGGATACAGGAGTCTCAGAGTATACATTCTTAAAGGATTTTTAAAAATCATAAATATTTGGCTGGCCAGTCAGTTCAATTGGTTAGAGCACAGTGCTGATAACACCAAGGTCCAGGGTTCGATCCCTTTAATGGCCAGCCACCAAAAAACCTCAAACCAAAAATTATAAATGGGGTCATATTATATAAATTGTTCTATAACTGCTTTTCCTAAACATATGCCTTCAAAAGAACTGACCATTAGGTCAATATCATATGTCAAAAAATTGTTTTATTTTGTATTAATGTGTTAACATGTCTTTTTATGTTTTTCTGGTGGAGTGTTCACCTCTATGACTTGTAAAAGGTCTTTGTACATTAAGACCATCCTTTGATGTGCCGCTAATATTCCTTCTGAATTGGGCAGGAATCTTTTATACTCTAATTCCTTACAAGCAGAGGAGTAAAAATATGAACTCTGGAGCTTGACTACTGGGTTCGAAACCTGACTGACACTTTCTAGCTATAAAACTTTGGCAAGTTAGTTAATTGGTGTGATACACATCTGTACATGGGAACAATAGTAGCTACTTCCTGAGGTTCTTGTGAGAATGATTTTTATTCATGTAAGAACAGTTTGTCTACCTAAAGTGCTCCAGAGAGTGTTCAGCACATATTAAGCTTGATATAACTGTTACTTACGATGATGATGATGTCATATGGAGCCACGGTATTTCTGAAGCTTTGTTTGGTAATCAAGAATGTGTTTAAAACTACCTCTTTACTCCTTTAAAGGTCATTAAAAAAATTTACAATTTGTAATAATGAATATGCTAATAATAAAGAAAAAAATTATAAAAAAAGAAAATAATTGAAATACTTATAAGTAGGGGACTAGCTAAATAAAATATGATATATCCGTATAATAAAATACCACTGTAAGAAAAGAAAAACAAAACAACACACAAAAAAACCTACTTCTTTATTAGAAAAAGGCATAAATCAAAAGTTTCCAACCTCTTGTATATGTTGAAAGCTTTAAATAAAGGTCCTTGGATACAAAATATGGTCCAAACATATTATTCTTCTATCATAAGATCATACCTATGGCTGTAAAAATACCACCAAGTTGAAAATTTTTATTTTGCTAAGACATACAAAAAGAATTAACAGTCCCACATTCTATAATTTCTAAACATTTAACCATCAACGGTGTCCATGACATGCTTTTGTCCTTCACAGTTCAGAGAAAGTACAGATGACTGATACTCTGTCAAAGCCTAACTTTTCTTCCTTTCTTCCCACAAAACTAATCTGTCCTTTCAGAAGTCTTGGCGGATGTTTTCTTTGTTTGCCTCTCCATGTTGCTGCTTAATTTGATAGATTTCATTTTCTAGTTGCACAATAGTCCGTTCAATCTCATAATTCTTACTAACAAGGGATACCCAACTAGAAAAGGAAAAAAGAAAAGAAAAAATTATTCAATGTAAAATCTCTCTTAGAAGATTTTATTTTAAATGTATATATATGTTCACTCAGGACCATACCACTAACCCTCACTTTTAACTTTGTATTTTAAAAAACTGAGGCACAATTGTGGGGAGGTAGGTAAAGGATACACAGGATCTCCATTATTTCTTACAACTCTGTGTGAATCTACAATTATCTCAAAATAAGAAGTATAATAAATAAAAGCAAATTAGAAACAGAAGAAAGATTTAGTATGACAGAAGAGACAGGAAAGAGTGATGGATAGTTATTTAATTGCATTAACAAAAAAGGGAAAATAGGGCAGAAGAAATAGTTATAGAAAGATGGTGAAGAAAATTCTAGAACTGAAAAAATAATCCACAGATTCAAGGAGACTCCTACTCCTTTCCACCAAAAATCTCTAGGAAGAAAAATAAAAAGAAACACACATCTACACTTATAAGATTATATTAGCCTGAAGAAAGATGTGAAAGGATGCATGAGAGATTGATAACACAATGTACGTGAACATGGAAGTGCAGGTGAGGCTGGAACAAGGAGAATGGTGTGGGCAAGGAAGGGAGGAAGGGTAGGGAAATAGCAAAGCAAAAAAGAAAAGAGAAGTGACACAAACGTTTGTGATTATATGTAGAAGAACATTTTAAAAATAAAATGTACAAAGGGAAAAAAACTGAGGCACAAATTATCAAGAAAAGTGAAATCTCTTCTTACAAGATTTTTAAAAATAGATAATGTTTTTTCCTTTTTTAGCTCAGTTGGTTAGAACATGGTGCTAATAACACGATTTGGTGGCTGGCCAAAAAATAAATACAATACAATAAATAAAAGGAGAATACGGGTAGAATCCTATTCAGAGCCAGAAGTACTGGACTAAAAACAGGGTGCTCTGAGACCAGGATCATTGAGCAGTGGTTTAATTCTTGTTTAATTCTCTTGTTGCTTTCCAAGCCTACACCTCACAGGGGCACAAGACAGTGAAGGGCGGATTCAAAAAACAGTATTTCTTTGACACCTGTGGCATCCCACTTGAAAACTGTTCAAACTATATTATTGAATCTTGATCTCAGAATGGGCTAAGCAATTTAAAAGATGATGGAATTATAGATACTCACTTTGACTCCATTTCTCTCAATTTAGATCCAGCAGTGAGTTGCATGTTCTTTCGCTGCCAGTTTAAATCTTGAATATGTTTCCTACAAAAAATTATTTATACAACCCAACTACATTTGAGCATAAGACTACAATCAACAGAAAAAACTATGATCAATACAAGAGATATCTTTAATCTCTTGAGAAGAACAGATATGTACAGTTATAGACTAACTGTAGGAATTTACTTTCTTCTCTTCAATAATTTTCCAATTAAAAATTTCATAAAACATGCTCACTGTGAAAATTAAAAACACACACAAACAGGCACACACACAGATTACAAACTGGAAGTCCCTCCTCCCTTGAACTTCTCCTTCCTGGTAACTATTAAGTTTTTGGTGGGTGCCCTTCCAGACTCTTTCATACATATGTATGAGTATGTAGAGATTAGTTTTTTACATAAATCAGATTATATGTGCTATTCTTCAAATTTTTCTCCTTTTAAAAGTGACTTTTTTATGTCTGTAGACTTGCAAGTTGTGAATGGCCTGGTAGAGATGTTTTCAGACCTCAGGCCTATTTTTCCTCCACTCAGGTCGGGCAAACCTAGTGCCAGATGCAGGACAAAGAGTGGATTGTTTAGTTTCATATGACTGTAGTCTTATTAGTTTCTTTTTCCTACCTCTCTCTATTTTTTAAGCTTTCATCTAAACTTTATTCTGAGAGAACAGGAAAATACAACTTACCTTAACTTCTGAAGCTCTTTCTGTGCATGTTCAATCATATGAACAAGATTTCTAAACAGGAAAAGAGGAAAATCAGACTAAGGTACATTAAAATCTAATAGTATCTACTAAAAGTGAACCATTTAGTTGATTCAAAGTCAAGTTTTTCTGTTAAAAATAGTAGTTATTTACTGAGCTCTCTGTGTCAAGAACTATGTTAGACACTCCATAAAATATTAGCTAATTTAATTCTCACTGGAATCTCTGAGGTAGGTATTATTTATTATACCAATTCCACATGTGAGGAAACTGAGGCTTAGAAAGGTTAAGTAACTTGGCCAGGTTAACACCGGTAAGTGTCAGAACTGGATTCTATTTCAGGTCTTTTAAACTCTAGAGCCAAGCAGTTTACTGATACTTTCTTTCATTGTGAATACTTACGTCACTTAAACTATCATGACTTCTTTTCACAGAGAAGATGGAAAATATCTGATATGAGTATACCCCCTTTTATCTCTATATTTCTATATCTACATTTATCTTGCCATTCTCTCCTCCTGTGTACTGCTAACAAGAAACTATTGTGGAAGCCTTGAGTTTCACTTCAAGTTGACTCTAACTAGCACAGGGGAAAAGTTCAACACTACAGAGTAACATGATGACTATCATTAGAGAAGTGATACAACAGTAGATTTCAATCTCTTTTTAATATTTAAACAACAGTTTTACTGAGATATAATTCACATGCCCGATCAATTTCCTCTTAGGGCAGCAGATCAATCACTTTAGTATCTATTTAAGTCACATTGGGCCTGCTGTGCTTTTTTGGGGGAGTGGCTGGCCAATACAGGGATCAAACCATAGACCTTAGTATTATCAGAACCACATTCTAACCAACTTAGCTAACTGGCCAGCCTCTTAATCTATTTCTAATATTTTTTCCTGGCTTTTGTGACTCCAATTTTCTGCTGCTCCCTTGAGTTACTTACTCTCCTACCTCTACTGACTAGTGTCCTTGAAGTAACTGCAGTTCTCTCATGATTCAGCCTTCAAACAGCTGTGCATTTCTAGGCTTTCCCTCAGCTCATCCCATTTTCCTTGGCTTCAACAATCACTTCATGCTGAAGACTATTAATTTTAGTGCTGTATTCGTGACCTCTGACCATTAACAGGGAGCTTTCATTTGTATTATGTCTCCCTGAAAGCTTAGTTTATTTGTTGTCCTCCATCCTCCCTCTTAAATTCACTTTGGTAAAACACAGTATACCTCCTCTGGAGAAGCGTCCACTGGATTTGGAGAAGACAAAATACACTCAGGGAATTTTTTTTTTTTTTTTTTTTTTTTTTTTCAGCCAACTGGTATGGGGATCTGAACCCTTGACCTTGTCAGGGAGTTAAACACTACAGAGCATTATGTGATTAAATGGAAAACAAGTGATGTGCATAGTAATTAGCACAGTCATTCAGAAGAGACAGTACTAGAGGCAGAATTTCAATCAGGGAAGACAGGTAAGCATATTAGAGTTGAGCCTTAAATGAGCTGAACTTGGGTAGAACAGGTAAAGGCATTCCAGGAGGCAAGGCATGAGTAAAGGTCTAGAGACAGGGTTTATGATAATCACCAGACAGAGGACTAGTTTGGCCTGAATTGAAAGTCTACAATTGAGGTATAGAAAGGCCTTGAATACCATGTTAAACAGTATGGACCTTACCTTGCAGGTAATAGGGAATTATTAAAGGTTTTCAGGGAAGTTGAAAGCAATATTCTCTCCAGTTTAATGTTTTTTCTCCTGCATCTATGTTCTCCTCCATTCCTGGAGTGTTTCTCTTTGCTCTGTTCTGTTTTTCTTTTTTCTTGCTCTCTTCTAAACATTCAAATCTCACCCTTCTTTAATGACCCTCATTCTTAATGTCCCTTCTCTGAATTGCTCAGTTTATAGAGCACAGCACACGATGTAGTACTTGCCCCCATACTGCCAAAAATGGACTACTGGTTATTCAGTGTAGAACTCTTATCTCAGTTAGATAAAGCTTACTGAGGACAAAATTCACATTTTTCCACTTTGTGAAATACATTTTTTTGATTGATCTGTCTTTTAAATTTCATAATCACCCTCATCCCATTCTTACTTTTTTCCCTTGCAATATATTCACACACAAAAAAACAAACTTGGAAGAGCTTTTCATATTCCGGATTTAGAAATTTAAAACAATTCTGAATATCTAAGAAAAGATATTTATGGTTGTGTGGTTTTGCTTTTATAGTTATGTTTCAGAAAATGCACTCTAACAAAGAGTTTTACATATAGTCAAGTCATGAAGTTCACTGGCCTTTTCTTCCTTAAACTGTTAACAGGCACTCAGGAGATTTTAGGGTTCACAGGGGCCACAGAGGTAATCTAATCATTAAATTTTACAAAGAAGGAAATTAAACTCTAGATAGACAATAAATATTAAAAATAGTTACATGGAACAGAAACAGGATCGCAGTGGCTTGTTTTGGCAACAAAATCCTTTCTGGTGTTAATTCTCTATTTACAGTTTGATTCTCATTATTTGTGGATTCCGTACTTGTGAATTTGCCCACTTGCTCAAATTCATTTGTAACCTCAAATTCACCACTTGCAGTGTTTTACAGTCATTCATTGACATGTGCAGTGGTGAAAAATCTGGGTGGCTGGGCATGCAGATTCCCAGCTGAGGTTGAACAAGGAGGTGCTCTGCTTTCTTATTCCAGCTCTCAATCAGAAATGACCAGGGGATGGAGTTTAAGCTCCAAGTCTGGCATCAGTTAGTGGGGCAACCTCAAGCAAGTCGCTGTACACTTCTAAACTTTGTTTTGTCTTTTATAAAGTAAAGAAAACAAAATCTACCAGGATGAGTTGTTTTTAGGATTTAAGATTTTAATCTATGTGAGATATGTATGTGTGTACATATATACACATATAAATATTCATGTATGAGGGGTCTCAAAAGTTCATGGAAAGATTTGTATTGTCTTTTAATTACATTTTTCCACAAACTTTTTGAAGTACCCTTGTATACATGCAGCATGTACGTATTTCCCCTAGGAGAAATGGTACAATATTTGCTAATTCAGTATCCAGAGGGACTTTTAAAGAACAAAACACGTGAACAACAAGAATCAACTGTATAAGCAATCCCCACATTAACAATTACACTCTACCTAGTGGTGATCTGTAAATCAGACCCCCCAGCACTCATTTTCTTACAGGATAATACAGTATAAATGCAGTAGTTAGGTTTATGTCCCCTTAGTGCTCTTGAACTTTGAGGTGGGCCTCAAAGTATAGGCCTTTCATATGGGTTGCAGTTCTAGGACATGATCCCAAGTCAAAGTCTAGCTATATTATTTTTATTCCACTTCCCCTTCCCTACTCCCACACTTTTTAAAAATATTAAAGCTTTGGGTGGGATGGGTTTTAAAGGAAGGAAAGCTTCTTACTCATTATATACTTTCCAGGCATTACACCCATGCTGCGACATTAGTTCCAGATTCTCAATTCGAACTGCTTGATGCTCTAACTGAGCCATAGAATTGTTTACACATTCTTGCCATGCAGTAATGTCATTTTTCTGACCCGAGGAAGGAGCTGGAAGCTCATATCTAAAATCAAACAATAAAATAAAATAAAACCACATATCCCACCAAGCCAATATCCCTCCTCTCAAGAGAATGCCCCATGGGTCTATGCACACTGTAAAAACGGCAGAAGACTGAAAGTAAGACACAAACCTTGCAATAATAATAAGAAACCTATTTATCCTAAGGAAAAAAAAAATCGATCTACAAATAAGATTTAGTGCCATTACATACAGTAATAAAAAATGGTTCATTTCAATGTGAACTGGTTAAGTAAGCTATACTATATTCATATAAAGGACTATTATACTAGTTATTAAATGTTACTAAAGAATACTTCTACACCTATCCATCCACCAATGTACCCACACCCCCTCTAGAGAAAAAATGGGAAGTGATATGGTAATTCTTTGTATTTTGACCCCACTCTATTCTCTCTCTTCCTACTACCTACTCCTTCAACACAGCTGTCATGAATGGATATATCCAGTCATGGATTAATAGATTAACATGGGAGTGGGTTAGTTAATACAGTGGGTCTGTTATAAAAGCCAGTTTGGTTCTCTCTCATGCCCCTTTCCCAATATAGGCAGCAAATACACTCTTCATAAAACTCAGCTCATTATTAATGAATTACTACAAACTAAATTTTAATTTCCATTTTAATATTCTTACCGTTTCATACTGAGTAACTCAATTGGTTGTCGAGCAGCCAGTCTTTCAAATTCATTTCTCATTATGTCAGTCTGATGTATAAATCAGAGAGAATTATTTCTAAGATCATACTAACAAATTGAAATTAACAGCCACCACAAAACATGAACTTACTCAGGTACTTATACTTTATACTACCCATTATAATGGGTCATTTCCTTTCCCCCAATTTTTCTCTGGGAAATGTTCTCTAGGATCTAGAGAACACACACACACACTTTAATTCCATACTCAGTTTAGGCAAGAAAGGTGGCACATATAAAGGAGCCCATAGAGAAGAGGATTAATCCTACATCACAGTTCTCAATTCTAGCAGTATATTAGAATCAGCTGGGGAGTGCTAAGGTTTGAGTGTCTGTCCCCTCCAAAACTCATGTTGAAACTTAATCCCCAATGTAACAGTATTAAGAGGTGGGACCTTTACGAGTTGACTGAGTCATGAGGGCAGAGCCATCATGAATGGATAAATACAGTCATGGATTAATAGATTAAAATGGGAGTGGATTAGTTATTACAGTGGGTCTGCTATAAAAGCCAGTTTGGTTCTCTCCCATGCCCCTCTCCCCCACCACCACAGACACGCCATGTGATGCCCTGTACCGCCTTGAGACATTGCAGAGTCCCCACCCGTAAGAAGGCCCTCACCATATGTAGCTCTTGACCTTGGATTCCCAAAAAAGTCCTTTATAATTTATCCAGTCTCAGGTATTCAGTTATAGCAACAAAAAACAGACTAAGACAGGGAGCTTTGACAATAATTCTAATCCCAGCCACATTTCACCTGTCTCCCCAATTCCCACTTAATTGGTCTGAGGTGAAGGCTGGACATGATTATAATTTTTGGTTTTTAACTCACCAGTTGATTATAAAGCAAAGCCAGTGTTGAGAACTGTGGACGTAAGTACTCATTGGGAATGGAGGAAAAGAGGAGAGTACTTAGAGACATAAAATAATTTGCTTCAGGGCTATGAGCCTAAACCTATATTTTCTCTTTGGTCCTGCCTGCTATTTTCACATGTTGCTCTTCAGAAAGAACGAAGGGGGGAAGGGGCAAAAAGAATTCGTTCTGCTATTTGCTCTAGCAATTTTACTGTTTTTAAAAAAATGTAGTATAGCTGTGCCTCTTTAGATCCAATGTTTCAGCCAATAACCTATCCCATTTCTGGTCTGTACATTTCCTACCCTGAGTATAAAGAACTGCTTAAGTAAAATATTCATTTATAGTAATACTGTACTTTGGTTATTCCAGGTAATTTCAATTTTCTGAGGGCTTCAACTATACTAACAATTAGACTAACAAGTAAGCAGAAAAGCCTTCGGGAAGCCCATATAAGCCCCTATTCCTGTTTAAAAGTTTTACATGAAGCATTTCTTGGTGGAGAAAGCCTTTTGGGGGCTATTGCTGAATTACACGCAACTCTAAGAAAATGTGGTTATCTAGTTTCCTTCAGAAAGCCAGGGCATTCTAGTTAGAAGGCTATGCACAGTGACAGATAAGGAGTAACAACTAACGATTAGATGAGACAGAAAATACAAACATGCAGTACAAATAGACTTGAGCCATGTAACATAGGAACCCTTTCCTAACTCACATGGTCAGTAAGCGACCTATCTAGAATTTTAGCTCAACTACCTCCAAAGACTGGGCCAGCATTCACAGAGCTAAGTCATGAAAAGAACTCTAGGTATTATGGGCACACAGTAAGCATTCATTAAATAAAACTGCCTTAGAAAGTCTTCATATATTCAATGCTAAATAAATGGGTGCCTATTGTGTGCCAGGTACCTTTCTAGGTAATAAAAAGGACAGAAAAGGTCCCTGCTCATGGAGTCTCATTTCAGCTTAGATAGGCCTTCCTCAACTAAGTAGTTGAGTAGTCACCCAGTCACTCTATCACGTCACTAATTTCTCTGTATAGCATTTATCAATAATCTGATTTCTGATATATTTATCTAGAGTGCAAGGTCCATGAGAGTATGAACTTTGCCTATCCTATTCCCAAATACCCAGCACATAGAATTGATCTTCATAGGGCTGGCCCATGGCTCACTCAGGAGAGTTTGGTGCTAATAACACCAAGGCTACGGGTTCGGATCCCATATAGGGATGGCCAGTTAGCTCACTGGGTGAGCGTGGTGCTGATAACACCAAGTCAAGGGTTAAGATCCAGTCATCTTTTAAAAAAAAAAAAAAAAAAGAATTGATCTTGACAAATAGTTGTTAAATGAATTAATGGAAGAGTAGTTTCAAAGGCAGTTTGAAGAAGGACTTGTTCAATTAGACAGCTTCTCAAAGCCATAGTTTTCCCATCTAAAAAATGGGCATAATACATAAATAGTTCATAGGGTTGTTCTGTGGACTGAGTGAGATAGTGAGCCTGGTACATTTTAGCAACTGTTATTAAGAAAGAGTTAAATATTAAAAAAAAAAAAAAAGGGTTAAATAAAACACCAAAAGCAAGGGTCAGATCCTCATGCTGGTCAGCCACCAACAAGAAAGAAAAAGAAAGGTTTAGATATCCAGTACACTAATTATAAAGGTAGAAAGCATGTTGTATTTAAGAGAGGGGGAAAAACTGGTTAAAGTATTTAAAAGTCTAACTGCAGTTATCTGAAACCTTCAGAAATCAGTCCAATGAGGAAGCATTACTATACTTAGTTCTTAATGTGGTAACATCTATATTTAGGAAACAATAGTTAGGAAAAGCATGGGAAAACTGCTGGGTATATACCTAAAGGAATGGAAATCATCATGTCAAAGGGATACCTGCACTCCCCTGTTTATCACAGCTCTATTTACAATGCCAAGTGTTGGAACTAACCTAAATGTCCATCGGCTGAGAAATCAGTCCAATGAGGAAGCATTACTATACTTAGTTCTTAATGTGGTAACATCTATATTTAGGAAACAATAGTTAGGAAAAGCATGGGAAAACTGCTGGGTATATACCTAAAGGAATGGAAATCATCATGTCAAAGGGATACCTGCACTCCCCTGTTTATCACAGCTCTATTTACAATGCCAAGTGTTGGAACTAACCTAAATGTCCATCGGCTGACAATGGAATACTACTCTGCCATAAAAAAGAATGAAATTCTGCCATTTGCAGCAACATGGATGAACTGAGAGAAAATTAAATTCAGTGAAATAAGCCAAGCACAGAAAGAGAAATACCACATTTTTTTTGTAATCGATATAAAATGTAACTTCAATATAAATACTGCCTTTTAATAACACAATCCTTTCATAAATAAGTAGTTATGTATAACGGGGGGGAAAACCCCAAACATGTATGTACGGAACTGCTTAACAGAATCCAATTATTTAGAAATGACATTTTACATTTCATTTAGCTGATTAGACCCTAACTAGTATCTTGGGTGCACTTCCGGGTTCAACATTTAAACTGTACTTAGATGTGGTTTGTCCATTCAGTCATTCACGTACATTCGGTAGACACCTAGATTTTGATACAAAAGCCGTCCTCAGCGGTTCCAAAGAGCCAAGGTAGTTAGGCTTATATAACGTACACTGAAAAACCCTACATCACTTGCTACAGTGGACCTTAGAAAGTAGAGGATCTCTGTGAGAATTTACGCATGGACCCTATCTCAAAAAAAGTACACAAAATTTTTTGCACTAAGTGAGAGAGTTCACGGAGCCCCAGAAAGTCCTACGGGTCTCAGAATAAGAACTCGGAGGCGACTCATCTATCTAGCTGTTTTCAATAGACTGGTGCCTAAAGGACTGATAAGTAGTAACCAAGCAAGCAGTCGTTACGGCTGGAATTTAAAATTCACTTTTACGCAGTTAAAGCTCTCAATCCAAAATAAAGGTTCGTAGGGATCCTCGTTCATAATCTGGGCTCAAGACATCACGCTTACTTCAAAAGCAGAATAATCTGGAGCCGTCAGGTAGCTCAGGTAGTTCTTAGTAGGTCGGTATCTGCGAGTTTCCTCCTCCACCAGCGCCGCAGCCTAAGAACAAGAACAAGGGCCAAGGTAGGGGCGGCAAATTGTAACGTGCTTCGTCCGATACTGGGCCAGCGATCGCCGAGTCAGCTACACAGACACCCCCTCACTCACCGCTTCCCGCACACCAGGAGCTTCATAACCCTGATCAAAATACGGCAGGGCATCCACTACAACCTCTCCGGCCACCAACCCAGTGCCCGCCATTCTGGGGATCTTTGGTTCGCCTGAGTTTTCTGAGTCTGCGCAGGGTCAGTCGCACTTAATTACGCCTGCGCTCGACCCTAATATAACCCACATCGCCTGCGTACTGATCCCGGCGCATGCCCAGTTGTAATTCTGAAGGCACGCACGCCCGGCCGCTGGAAACTGCCGGACTGTTTTGTAGTGGGCGGAAGTGACGTCACGTCCTGGATTCCGAGAGTAAACGGAGAGTTAACTTCCTGTGCCGGCCTTGCTGCACCTTTTTGCCTTCCAGTGGTAGGAGTTTGGTGGAGTTGGGCCTTTTCGTTTTCTCCAGGACGTCAATCCCTGGAAGAGCAGCCCCTTAAAACTCTTGGAGGGAACTGGCTGTAGGATTTGGCGGGGAAAGAGAAACTGGTTTCCCACCTCGGCTTACTCCCCTAACCGTCCACCTTGTCCCCTTAAACTTCTCCCCGTTTGCGTTTGTGCGGGGCTTCTCGCCTTTTGTACTAACTTGTTGTACCCCCACTATCCTTCGTTGTCGGCGGCCTGTGAATCTTTGCATTATAAGTAACAGTTATTTTCCGGGCTCTAGAAACGGACGTCAGTCTTCAATAAAAATTGCGAAGCCTTAGTAGCTCCATAACGAAAGGAACCTTTATCGCCCCCCAGAGGGTGATTGATAACTGTGCACCACCCCCAACTTTAAAAAAATACTGTCATTTTGCCTTTAGGGCGTATGTAAAACCCAATTATTTTATTCTCAAGACTGAGGGTAATAGAATAGAGCTCCTCATTGCCTCCAACCACTCAAGCTACTGCCAGTGTACCTTCTCTGCTACGTGGCTCCCAGAGTAAGCAGCTTCCCTTTGACTAAGCAGGCAAAGACCAAATAAGGTCGTCGGACTATATGTGCAGTCTAGATCCAGGTTTGGTCTGCGAAGAGCCTGGAAATGCTGGTCACGGTTATTAAGCCTGGTTAGTCTAAAGATCGATTCGGATTATCTAATTTATCACTAGGTACATGTGTTAACTATAGATTTGAGTGAAGTAAAAGATCTTTATATCTTAAGCAATTCTCCAAGAAATTTGTGGAATTTTTATGTTTATTCATTAAAAGATCTGTAAACAACATTCATACAAATCTTCAGCAATTCCTTTACAGACATGTCCAGAATTCGTAATACTTTACAAAAACAAAATACAACAGACCTAAGGAAAGGAAGCAGCTTCAGATTGCAGGAATAAAGTAAGATTCCCATCCCTGAAGCAAAGGTTTTCTCACAGGGGATAACCAAGATCCACCAGAGTGGGGTAACATGGGGGTACCATGTTAAAAACACCCAATTACAAATTGTTCCCTCAGGACTGGAGTGTAACAAGAGACAAAATAGGGAGGTGTCTCATAAGAGCCCCTTTGGGGTTAGCTGCTTAATCAGTGTTTAAAAAAAGACATAGGCTCAGTTGTGTTCCCTGGACCACGCATTTGTAGGAATTATATTACACAGCACCAATATTATATGGTGTCTGCTTCAGACTCATTCATGCACACCAGAATGGGTTGTAATGACAACAGTGTCAATAAATTGTATCACAATACAACTTACAAGATTTTGTAAGTTTGAATATTTTGTATGCCAGTTAAAACCATTAGCAGGAGAAGGAGAAAACAAACTGACATTTGCTATAACATTTACCAATGAAAATTGCACCATCACTGACAAATTCCTCTTTCCAATCAGTACTACTACTTTAGATATTAAGGCTCTGGATGATTAAGTGGTGTATGCTCAGGAAATGTTCATATTCTGAGTCCAATTAGGGCAAAAATTCCAACAATTCTAGGGGAATAAAAAAAGAATCTCAGGTAGGCACCTATATAAAGTTTCTTTTCCTCAGAGCTGAGAGGTAGCTCTGGTACACAATAGAAAACTTTTAAAATAGGTATAATCCTACAGATTTCAAATTTCCATCTGTAGGGCTAACCAACTTTCTCTGTATTCATAAAAGTCCTGGCTTCAGTTTTGTCTCTGTTGTATAACTTTCAGCAAGTTATTGAACGTCTTTGAATTCCAGTTTCTTCATTAGTAAATTGGAGATGTAAATATATATCTCATAAAGTTGACTTAAAGTATTCAATAAGGTAACATACATACATGTACCACAGTACGTGGCACATGGTGGACACTAAAAAAAAAGGTAGTTCCCATGCCCTTGAAAGGACATTTTCCTATTAGCTATGATTCAGCAAAGCTTAATGTTGACACGTGAGGGACAAGCTACTTTAATGCCACACAATGTGGAGGAGGAGCTGCAAGATGTCACTTTTATAAGGTACTCAATAACAGTGCAAACAGAGCTTCCACATAAGTGAGATTCCCTAGATAGAACATTAGACAAAAAAATGAGGGGCTGACCTGTTAGCTCACTCGGTAGAGCTTGGTGCTGATAACACCAAGGTCAAGGGTTCGGATCCCCATCCTGGCCAGCCACACACACAAAAAAGGAGATATATGATGAGTATATTCCTTAGCCCAGCTCAAACAGCTTATGGGTTTAAAGCTGCCATGATATTTCAGTGATGAGAATTATGTGTGTTAGGCTAGTGTTCTCTACTTCTATAATGCCTGTCTAGTACTTTAAACTCAACCTTTCTCTCATTACACTCATCTTTGAGCTGTTTTATAAATGCAACACCAACAGGCCTTTCCCTCGTAAAAGACAGCTGCCTTCATATACTAAGCACAAAAAACAGAGACTGAGTCCAAGAATCAAATAGAAAAGGCCACTGTAAAAGAAATAGAAAGTAAAGAGAGCACTGGTTCCAGACTACTCCCAACAATTCTCCAGTAATTAATACAGCAGCAACAGGAGACTCCTCCTCTGAGAGCCTGAGTGGCTCTTTAACCTTTTAAAAATTCAAGGATTTTTGTAGAATACTTCAAGGCATCCTGACCCTTGGGAAAATATTTCCTTTGGCACTTTCTGTTCTATTTAGGATGGAGACAGTCAATCAAAGATTTCACTTCTTGTGCAGAAATTTCATTTTACTTCCTAAAGGGAAAGAAAGGTAGAGTGAATTCTAGATTCATTTTTATTTACTGTACATTATCTGAGGCAAGGGATTAACAATCTAGTCATTCACAATATCCCAAGAGTTAAACTGCCATCTCAAGTTATCTGTTGACGTGTTAAACACCAACCCTCTCCCTAAGTGTCTAATTGTTGAGGTAGAAAAGAATTCAGACATCATCTAATCCAGTGGTTTTCAACCCTAAAACCAGTAGGTTAAATTACCAGGCTTGCTCCCCAGAGATTTCCTGGAGCCCAGAGGAAAAAAGACTTTAACCTTCCCAGAGATTAAAATAGGCAGTCAGAGATGGGAACTACTGATCTAATCTAACCCCACAGTATGAAGATGGTGCTGGCTTGTTAGTTCACTTGGTTAATACAAGGTAAAGGGTTTGGATCCCTGTGCTGGGGACTTTTGTGCCAAAACACACAAAAAACAAAAAATGAAATAACAGCCCAAGGCATAATTTGTCTATGGTCTTTCAGTTAGTTACGGAGAGGGCCTACTTAGAGGTATATATTTCAAAGACCAACATAAATACCACAGAATATAGGTTCTTCATTGTTTTAGGCTAGCTACACCACTGATCTTTTATATCAATGTTTAATTGAAAAATCATAAACTGTTTCTTTATGAAGTGTCAAATTAGATTTTTAAGAAGTTCTCTTTTGCCTCAGAATCCCTCTAAACCAGGTGTTTTAAATCTGGAGTCAAAGGATAGGCTTCAGGGGATCCATGAACACCCTAAAGTCATATGTAAAATTTATCTGTATGCTGTTAAGTACATTTTTCTGGGAAAAATGACCACAGTTTTTATAAGATTATCCAAGGGATGTGACCTAGAAAAGATTAATAATCATGACATGCAAATTTATATCATGAAGGGATAGTTTAAGGAGCTTCACCTGAGGGAAAGAGCCCCATAGACCACTCTGATAGAGAATCCCAACCGCTGAGAAAGAGACTTCTTTTTCTCCGAAACGCTTTGGAACTAGGGTAATGGTTTCTGCTCAGCCTACTTGAGGCTGTATTGCGGATCTGATTATAAAGACTTAATGATGAGGCCCGCTTACTGCACAGCTTTTCCAGCTGCATTTATCTAACAGGAAAACACAGCAACTCACCAAGACTCCGCAAAATTCTATTCACCCCACTGGGCTCAGACTCAGGAATTGTTTCCAAATACTGGAGGGCCCGAACCTCAAACAAACCTACAAGGAAAATTCATGTCGGTGAAACTGTCCAACACTTAAGACTGGAAATTAATTAAATAAAACTCTGTGCTCATTAGCAATTTATTTCCATGGCTAAAACAATATTGCAAAATAAATGTCCTATAATAAACTCAGATTTTGAGACCTTATAGCTTTATACTATTTTTTGTTTATATTATATTCAAACCTTTGAAGTAATCACTAAGTAGAGAGGGATAATTTTATGATGGAAACTGACCTTTAACCCCGCTTTTCCGAAGCTCTCGGTCCTGGACGAATCCTGCAAACATCTGAGTCTCCATAAAGAGATCCAGGAAGTGGCGTACACTTCGGGAGGTGTGGGACTTACGGAATGGCTCCCTTAGGAATACACGCTCCCCATGTTTAGTGACAGTCATATTCAAAGAATAATGTCCTACCAGCTCCACAAAAAATCTGACAAACGCTTCAGACACCAGAGAGTTGAGTGTCACATCTGTTAAAAATGAAAGAAAAAAAGAAGGAAAAGAAAAAAATCCCCTAAGTTTTGTGTATCTGGGAACACCAGCTCTGGTGATGGAAATCATAGATTAAAGGACTGAGAATAAATGTAGGAATGTTCATTCTTCACTTCTTGCACTCTCCATGACTTGCAAGAAGCAAATGGCTTATATCCTTACCTTCATTTTCTTCCCACACACATTCTTATTACATCTTGCAGCCTGGCCTGCACATCTATGATTTCATGGTAACTGTTCTTTCAAAGGCTACCAAGTGAGAACTAGCCAAATTTAATCTGTTTTTCTATTTTTATCTTCCTTAAATTCTATGCTGCATTTGTGTTGACCACCTCCTCATTTCTCTCATTTCCCACAACTTCATGCTCTCCTGATAGCCTGATTCCCTTCCTGCCTTTATGACCAAGCATTTGTTTTTCTCTTTCCTTTTTTTCCCTCTTTCTTAGCATGGTCATCAGACCACTTCTTTAATGTTCCCTTCCTTAAAGGGTTAATTGGCACAGAGACAGTGCAGGTTATGTTGATAATTCCCAGGCTTACATTTCCAGCTCTGATATTTTACCTTGTACATTTTCAGGCTACCTACGGGTGAGCATCATTTGACTGTCTAATTAGCACATAAATTCCACTTGTCTAAAAGTCACCACATCAAGTCTAAAACCAAATTCATTATATTTCCCCACCATATCAGTTTTCTCTTCAACTCTCGTACTTCATATTGCACCATGATTATTCTGTAAAAAATAATCAATTATTTATTTATTTTTTGTCTTTTTTGTGACCGGTAAGGGGATCGCAACCCTTGGTGTGGTGTTGCCCACACCGCGCTCAGCCAGTGAGCGCACCAGCCATTCCTATATAGGATCCGAACTCGCAGGGGGAGCGTCGCTGCACTCCCAGCGCCGCACTCTCCTGAGTGCACCACGGGCTCGGCCCAAAAATAATAATTTATTGAGTGCTTAAGATATGTCAGGAACTGTATCAAGTACATTACAAACATAATAATCCAATTAGGTAGGTATCATTATTTCTCTTTTACAGCTGGGGAAACTGAGACTCCAAATGATCAAAGTTCTGTAGGGTCATCCCATCTAGTAAGTAGAGATGTTGGACTCCCAAATCAGGTGATTCCCAACCACTATAATACACTAAAATATATTGTCTTCTAGGTCCCATGGTCAAAGCTCAGATTTAACTTAGACTCTTCCTTTTCCCTCTGTATCCAAATAGACTTTTTTTCCTCTTCACAATATCTCTTGCTCTTTTCCATGGGCTCCGCCCCCCGGACTGGGAATCAGGGACTTAGGTTTAGTCAGAATTTTACCGTAAAGTAGCTGTATCATAATGGGTAGCTCACTTTACCTCTCGTTGCCTGTCCATATCTGTGTAGGAAGTGGGGCTGATTAGGTGATTTCTAAGGTGTCTTCTACATTACATTTTGACTGCAATCTAGGTTTTTGTTATATTTTGTCCAACAGACTTCTTTCTCATCTCTTCCCTTCTGCAGCTGGTCCATCGCTGCATTCATCTTCAAAACTTTTATCCTACTCTCCCATCCCTTCCAGTTACTGCCCCATTTTTCCTCTACTTTGTGGCAAAGTTTCTTGCCAGAATTGTCTGTACCTGTTATATCCACTTTCTTACATCTTGTTCTCTTCCTTTTTACGTTTATATTTTTCTATAACTTCTCTCCCATTCTTTGTTTGTTTTAATGTATATACTTTACATATTCTTTTACTTGTCAAAATATTTCATAAGGTCAGCAGTGAAATGAATACCCAAGTACCCACTATAAAGCTTAGAAACATAACATTACTAGTATCTCATCAGCTCCCTGTGTGACTCCTTCTCAATGGTATTCTTCTCTACTCTCCAAGGAGGGTGACCATTATTTGGAATTTTGTATTTATCACTCCCTTGCTTACATTATCCTTTCACTACACATGTATGTAATGCCAACAACATATTGTTAGCTTTTGTATGTCTTTGGACATTATATAGAACATTATATTATTCTTACATAGAACAGTATGTTATTCTGCAACTCACTACTTTATCCAATATGTTTTTAAGATTCATTTTTAGTGCTATAGAGGGGTACTTCAAAAATTCGTGGAAAAATGGAATTATGAGATTATACAAATCTTTCCATGAACTTTTTGAAGTACCCTTGTATTCTCCTGTCAGTGGACATTTGGGTTGTTTTTAGTTTTTGCTTATCACATACATTGCCATTATAAAAATTACTGTACTTATGTCCTAATGACCATGTGCAAGAGATTCTCTAGGACATATATCTGAAAATGAAATAGTTGGGTTATAGGATATTTACACCTTTAACTTTACCAGATAATGCCAACTTGTTTTACCAAAGCAGTTGAACTAATTTACACATTCTCAATAATGCCTGATATTGTCAGACTTTTGCCTTGCCAGTATGGTAGGTATAAAAAATGGTACCACACTGTGATTTTAATTTATGTTTCTTTGATTTTGATGAGGTTGCACATCTCTTCCTATGTTTATAAGCCTTTCATGTTTCCTTTTCTATGAATGTTTATTCATATCTTTTCTCCATTTTTCTACTGGGTTGTTTATCTTCTCTTGATTTGTAGGAGTTTTCTTAAAAAAAAAAAAAAAATCCAGACACTATTCCTTTGTTAGTTATATTTGTTGAAAATGTTTTCACCTAGTTTGTAGCTTGTTTTTTAGTTCTTTTCTATGGTATCCCTTGATGAAAAGAAATTTTTTAAATTTAACATAGTCAAATTAATTGATCTTTTCATTTATGGTTTGTATTCTTTATGCCATATTTTTAAGAACTCGTCACTGTTTTAAGGACATAAAAATATTTTCTTCTATTTTTTTAAAAACGTTTTTAAAAGTAAGTCTTCAAATCCACTCAAATTAATTTTGTGTATAGTGTGAGGTGTAGATCCATATTCATTTCTTTTCTTATGGAAGATCAAATTCTCCTAGTATCATTTATTCAGTGGTTCATACTTTTTCCACTGATATTCAGCACTGGTGCTAACACAAATCAACTTTCCTTATGTATGTGCACTCTCTATTCTTTCCACTGCTGTATTTGTTTCTGCACCAAACCAAACTATCTTAATTATTATGACTTCATAATAAATCTTGCTGTCTAGTAATAAAGCTCTTCAATCTTGTTCTTTTTCAAGAATGTCTTAGCTATTCTTGGCTCTTTGTATTTCCATTTAAATTTTACAATCAGCTGAACGGCACTCCAATTCTCTCTTGAACCCTCTTCAGTTTCACTCTCTTCCTACCATTCCACTGAATCTGCTTTTATCAAGATCTCCAGAGCCCTTCCTATCGTCAGATCCTCTGGTCAATCCTCAGTCTTCATCTTATTTGACCTCTTTGTGTAGCTATAGACAATCTACTCTTTTCTTCATGAAATATTTTCTTTACTCAGCTTCTGTAATGTGACATTCCTGGTTTTCTACATACACAGTCTCCTGGTTTTTCTCCTATTTCACTAGCTGCTCCTATTAGTCTCCTTTGCTGGATCCTTCTCTTCTTCCCAACCTCCAAACGTTGGAAATCTAACCCCACACACCATTCCCAATCAACCCAAAGATCAAACTTTAAATCTTTGTTATTTTCTACCTACACTCACTTTGTAGGGTCACTTTATCTGGCCTCACAACTTTAAAACAGCAATTTCTTTCTTACTTTTATTTTTGAACCTTTGGATTTGGTTAAAATAGAAATTTCTAAATGTATGTCTTTAGCCCAAATCTTTTCTCTGAATCCCCAATTCATGTATAGAAATGCCTACGTAACATCGCCAGTTGGATGTCTGCTAGTTATTGAACATCCAATAGGTAACTTAAGCTAAATATCCAAAGCTTAACTTTTTATTCCTCCTCTAAATATGCTTCTTCCCTAATGTTCCCCATTAGTAAGGAGACTTAGTTTTCTCATCTGTAAAATCGGGATTAATGAACCTGCTTCATAAGGATATTGTGAAGGATTATTTCACAAGGATGAAATAAAATATATCCTAAGTGCTTAGCGTAATGCCTGGTATAGAAAAATCACCCAATAAATATTATTTGCCCATTTATTCAGAAAATACTTATTGAGTATGTACTTCCTGAATACTGTTTGAAGTACTGGAGATAGAGAACACAACAAAATCACTGTTGTCATGGAACTTACATTCTAACACATCAGATGGTGATAAGTGCCATGAAGGAAAATAAGGCAAGGGGAAGAGGAGAGGGAGTGCTAGGGGAATGGGTACAATTATTAAAAAGGACAGTCAGGGGCCGGCCCGGTGGCGCACTACTACAGTGCGCCGCTTGGGAGTGCGGCGGCGCTCCCGCCGAGGGTTCGGATCCCATATACAGACCGGTTCCCGCTCACTGGCTGAGCGAGGTGCAGGTGCAACACTGAGGGTTGCGATCCCGTTGCCGGTCCTGGTCTGGTATGGGCACGACACTGAGGGTTGCGATCCGTTGCCGGACACGAAAAAAGACAAAAAGGAAAAAAAAAAAAAGGACAGTCAGGAAAGGCCTCAGAGAGAAAGTGACATTTGAGCATGGACGTTCAGAAGGACAGAAGTCACGTGGCTATCTAGGGGAAAAGCATTCTGTAAATGTAATTGAGTCAGCGCAAAAGTTCTGAAATAGAAGGGGGCCTGGTATATTAAGAATTAGCAAGGAAGCTCATAGGTATAGGCAATCTAATATTATTTTTGTATATCCTTTAGCAGTGTGCTGGGCATTCAGTAAATATTTACTGCCTCAATCTTAAGTCCTTGGTCCATTTGTCTCATACCTTGTGAAAAATTCTGCTCCTGAGCCAAAATTTCATTTCTTTCTTCCAAAATCTGCATCAGGGCAGCCTGAAGTTTAGGTGGTAGAATCTCATCCTCATCAGATACCTTAAGAGAAAAAAATTGAGATTTCGTATGAGAATCAAGGGAGAAAGTCTCAAACATACACTAGGTATACCCCCAAAATTCCAAAGGTGACTTTGTATTTATTTTGGCTGAAGAGTCAGTCTCAAGTTTCCTTCCCTATATGGAGTAGAATCTATGATGTTTATGGCATATATATTTTAAATATATATATATATATTTTTTGGGGGGGGGTGGCTGGGTGGTACAGGGATTGAACCCTGGACCTTGATGTTATCAGCACCATGTTCTAACTGAGCTAAACAGCCAAGCCCTATATTTTAAAAAATAAGTAATATACTTTGTAAAATTTTCTGGCACCTTTCTACCAAATATCTCTCATCTACAAGTCTTATGCTATATTACAAAGATCATCCCCAAATAAATGGCATTTCAAATGTGATGAGCTAATTGATTTTAAAAAAAGACAAAGTCATGGGAAAAATTCTTCTCACTCTGTTTCAGTGCTTAGATCTATATAGAGGTTACATACATCCAGAGGGTTGCTCTGAGAAGGCTTTAATAACTCTTCCTTTCCACTTTAATATCCAGAATAATCATTTCTTTTTTTGCCCCTACTGTTTCTTGTACAAATTTCTATTATAACATTCCTAAAACTTTTTGTGTATGTCTGCTTCCCCCCATTAGCCTGAGGGCTCAAATTGTGTCTTACTCATCTTTATTTCATTTTACTTTCTGGCCATTACAGGGATCCAAACCTGTGACCTTGGTGTTATAAGGCTGTACTCTAACAAACTGAACTAACCGGCCAGGCCCTTTCTCATCTTTAGATTCTGACTGCCTAGCAAAATATCTAGAAATAATCAGTGCTTAATAAATGCCTTTTAAATTTAATTAAATTAGAGGCTTATATATCACCCCATCTGAAGTTGAAGGGAGCGGTACCTCTTTTGAGAATGACATTTATTGTTTCCTCCTTCCTTCTCTGGGACAGACAGCTAAAAACCCAAGCCAGATTCTTCAGGTCAATCTTGTATGATTGGCCACAGTGCCAATTCAAGTATGTGTATGAACTAAAAGTCTTGCCTGAGTCATCTTCTCTAAGTACTTTCACATATTTTCTGTTCAATTATCTACAGAGAGACCTTTATATCCTAACATTATATAATCACCTCCTTTGTCACTCACCTCCTGTAAGAACTTGTCTGCACAGAGATCTACTATCAGCACCTATGGAATAAAGGAGCCAGGCAAGTTCAACCAGAGACATTCACAGACACATACATTAGGCACTGCTGGATCAGGAATGGTTTTTTGATTCTTTCGGGAATAGTTTTAAACAAAAGTAACTCGAAATTGTAGCTCATTTAAAATTTAACCCATCAACGCAACAACAAATAAACTGCAAGTAAAAAAAAAAATGATGGCATGCACTCCTACAGATTAAAAGAGACTTAAGAAATATATCAACCAAATGCAATGTGTGGATGTTATCTGGGACCTGATTGAAACAAATTACTAAAAGTTTATGAGACAACTGGATATTTGAACACTGGATTTTGCTGATATTAAGGAATTACTAAATTTTAGGTATAATAATGATATTACGGTTATGTTTAAAAATGCCCTTATAGAGATTCATATTGTAATATTTATAGATAAAATTACGTGTTGGGATATTCTTCAAAATATTACAAGAGAGAGGAATGGGTAAGGATAAAGATTGGCCATAACTTTGTAAGTATTAAAGTAGGGTGACTGACACGTGAGGATTCATTTCACTCTTGTTTACTTTTACGTATGTTTGAAATCTTCCTAAATAAGTTTTTTTAAAAAAACGTTAACACAGCATAGCAGTGGGGAAGAACAGTCTTTTTAATAGGCGGTACTAGCATGTAGTTATCCATATGAAAGGATAGCAGGTGGTTATCCATATGAAAAAAAAAAGGAAACAACCTCTACCTTACATTATACACAAAAAAATCAAGTCTCAGGTGGAATCAAAACCAAAAGTTAAAGGCAGAATAATAAAGGTGCTAGGAGATAATGTAGGAGGATTTCTTCAAGATGTTAATGTAAAGAAAAACTTAAGCATCTCACAAAAAACACTAGCCATAAAGGAAAAGATTGATAATGTTAATCACATTAAAATTAAGAACCTCAGTGTATTAAAAAATACCAGTTTTGAAAATGAAAAGGCAAGCCACAAACAAAGTTCTTGGTATCCAGAAAATAAAAATTCATCTTACAAATCAGTAAGACGGTAAACAATGCAGTGGAAAGACAGACAACAAATTTTACAAAAGATGATATTCAAATGGCTGATAACCATATAGAAGGATCTTAACCTCAACAGTAATCAAAGAATGCAAATTAAACCACAATGAGAGTACCACTACACACCCACCAGATAGGCTAAATTACACAAAATGGTGATAGTTGTGTTGGCAAGGATGTGGACCAACAGGAACTCTCATATACTGTTGGAGGGAGTTTAAACTGGCAAAACTACTTTGGAAAACAATTTGACTTTATTTGCTAAAGTTGAAAATATGCTTACCCTATGACCCAGCAATTCAATTTCCAAGTATATATCCACAGAACTGCATGCATGTGTGTACACAAAAGGTCATGAATACAAATATGTATAGCAGAATTATTCATAATAATCCCAAGTTGGAAACAACTCAAATGTTTATCAACTGTAGAATGGAAGAGAAACTGTGGAACATTCACACAACGGAATACAGTACACAATTAGAATGACCAAACTACTGTTAAACTCATCAACATAGATGAATCTTACAGACTTAATGTTGAGCAAAAGAAGCCAGACAAAAAATATATATATGAGTCCATTTATATCAAGCTTAAAACCAGGCAAAGCTGAATTAAATTGTTTAGGGATGCATGCCTAGGGGGTAAAACTATAAAGTAAAACATGTAAATGAATACCACGAAAGTCAAGATAGTGGTTACCTTTTGTGGGGGATGGGGAAGGGAACAGAGATTAGAAGGAGACATCATGCAGATTTCTAAGGCGCTGGCACTGATTCCACTGCTGTAATGTTCCATTCCAATGCTGGTTATGTAAGTGTTTATTCTGTGATATTCACTAAGCTGTACATTTTGTTTTGGGCGCTTAAGCTATATGTGCGTTATATCTGAAACAATTTTTTAAGTTATCTCGGAGTAGTTTTTGTGTTTGACTTAAAAAAAAAACAAAACAAAAACCCCTACCCTTTAGAATAATACAAGAATGAACCTATGGTTAATACTGCAAATGAGACACAATTGTGGACTCGTGTACTATAGAATTTTTCTCATTTTAATAAAAAGATACCAAAAAATGATAACATATTAATAATAGTTATTATACTAATAATAATTAAAAATAATTTCACCGCTATTAAAGATGACTTATTTTCATTTGTCAGTGCTCCAGTATTTCCCATAGGTACCATTTCTTCCATCTCACCTCTTCAATGGGTAGGTCCTGGAGCTGTGATAAGGAGCAAGACAGGATTCCAATAAGGAACGGAGTAGGTGAGCACACAATGTCGATCATAGATGCTGGTAGGACTGGGATGTAGGTATGTTGCCAGGTGAATGGATACAGTGTGGCTACCACAGCATGGCCACATTTGGACAGGGTGCTAGCCAGCAGAGAAAGCAAATAGTGTCACATACACAGTAACACAGAAAGAGCATTTCAGACATTATGTTAAAGAATTACAAATTAATGCTGGTTAGTGATCACAGATTAACAACTCCATAAATACTTATTAATATTAAACATTTAATTAACATTTTTAACTTAATTTATTGAAAAAATGTTTAACTTCAATACCACTCTTCTCCATAATTTATCATGCTAAAAATTAGTGTGTACTTAGAAAAGCAATAAAAATTTTAACAACAGTTTAAGTAAAATGCATTTAAAATGAAAATTTATTACAACCCAAAAAAGTCATTGTTATGGCCTAATGCAAATGGCTTTTTAATTATTTACCATTTGTAACTATCCATGTTACTATAGCATTAGGTAATTAACAGACCGAACCTACTTTTTTTAAAAAAAATGCTCAAATTTAAAAATAGTAAGAACAAGTAAAATACTAGTATGAAGTTACATATTTCACTTATTTCTTACCTTAAGCTATTGGCAACAAAGATTACCCTTCGCTCCAAAAGGAGAGAGGCACAGACGCGAATGAGATGACACACACTGAGGCACTTAAAGAGACATTCAAAATCAACATGTTCCAACCGGGAATCTAGTGGTCGGCAGAGTTCAATTGACTGCAATTCAAGAATTTGAATCAGGGGAGCTGATGATGGAAAACAATCCCCAGTGACAACACTAACAGATCCTGTCACCCTTTTACAAGTTAAATTCAGGAAAGAACGTCTACTACGAAGAGTTTGTGAAGCTGCTTACACTAACCCCCAGACCCAATAGCTTATTTTTTTTTTTCTTTTTGTCTTTTTTACTGACCTGCAACGGGATCGAAACCCTCGGTGTTGCGCCCGCACCGCGCTCAGCCAGTGAGTGGGAACCGGTCTCCACATGGGATCCGAACCCTCGGCGGGAGCACCGCCGCGCTCCCAAGAGGCACACTCTCCAGTGCGCCACCGGGCCGGCCCAGCCCAATAGCTTATTTTTGTGCTGAGAATTTCTAGTAAAATCTTTTATCCCATCTGACAATAGTATATATAATCTTTATCACATTGAAATTGTCATTACAAAGGGGCTCTATCTATGTATGGTAGAAAATCTCTGGGTCCTGGGTCTAGAATCAACTATCTCACAGATCAATTGGGTATTTCTCCAATGCTTTATGGAAATAAAACATATTCTTCACAGTTTATGAAAAAGGGAAAACTATGCCCTTAGGGGTCTAGAAATTCTGCCTATTAACATGAGGCCTGCTTTTGGTGGCTATAAAACCTTTTCAAAATGAGCTAACTTACCCCATCTCCAGCCCCAGGGAGGTAGCTCTTAACTGTGATGGTGCGTCCAGGAGCTGGGAAAGGAGCTTCCATGACACTTTGCATGAATGGGTAAACAAGGGCTGGAGACATTTCTCTTCTCTTCTCTACTTCATCCAGAATCTACACACACAAAATATGTTATTATGAACTCAGTTCAAAAACATAAAAGAATCCTATTATAGGAACTGCCAACCTTGGTGTATGAACTAGAAAATCACACAAATAGAATTTAAGATAGATAAGCTTCTACAACCAATACAAGTTCATTAAAGCATCATATCTCTTAGGGGTATTTTATACTTCCAGGAAAAGAAAAGTTACTAACATAAATCAATTTATTTTTAAATAGGAGTCCCTTTTCATTTCACTAAGGGAGAGACAAAGAAGGTGATACTGACAATGATATCCTGAAATTAGGGTCTAGGAAAGACATGAAACAAGATAAGCTTCAGGCTATGTTCTCCTTTAAGCTAGAAGTTTTAGCAAACCAAAATGAGGGTTATGCAGCAACAGCAGCTGAATTAGAGATCTAAGATTACGCCTTCAGGCCTGTGGTTCCTAATCTACTAAGGGGGAGCCTTCTCAAGTAATATGTTAAAGTCTATGCCACTTAACATTGGCTAGTGAAGTCATCAGCAACAAAAACTTCCTCAGTGCTCAGAAAGAACACTACTTTTCATACGGCCCATTCTCCACTCACCTTTGAAAAAAGATTGAAGCAGCCTAGGCGACTAACCATGCAGTATACCTCAGGAAGTCGCTTTCCTTTGCCTTCTGGCTAAAAGAAAAAAAAAAAAGCAAAAAAAAAAAAAAAAAAAAAAAGGCTTTTCACTTAGCTCAGGGGTTTGGGG